CTCCACGTCCATGATTATTTTAAGGCGGGGAGTGTATCATCTTACACGGAACGAGCCTGTTGAAGGTTCTTCCGGTCGAGAGGCTTCTTCTTTCGTCTCGAAACCCTGCTAAACGGCTTCAACGCTTCCACTCTACTCTCTGCCGAAGTAGATTCTCACATGAGATTAGAGTAGAGATCTCATTTTGAAAGAAGGGATAAATTTATCTATACTCTCTTCTCCTATTCTCCGAACCATGAGATTTATCTCCTTTTGGTTTGAGTCTCTGCAAATCATAGTGAAAGCTGGACAATTGCAGCAGTCACAACACGCAACGACGGGTCATGACGATTATTTTTTTTCTCACAGGACGCACAAGCTAAGTGAGGATTGATTCTCAAGAACCCTAGGGCTCCAAGTACCTCCTCAGAAGCTACTTGGACCCTCCAAAAACCACCCCAAACGCCTTCTCAGAAGGTACTTGCAGCCCTAGGGATATTGCTGCACTTTGGACCCATGGAGGCGGTGAAGCGGTAGAGAGCAGTGTGTAGAGCCACCAGGCTCAAGAAATGTGACTCAAACAGGGTGGAGACAAAGAGACGATGTGTTTGAGCTGTGTTGTGGTCAACTGACGGTTGGAGAAAGCACTGTGGGTCATGGCCCCAACCCCCAAACCCTGCGGTTGCGCTGAACTCTGAGAGACTCTACACATCCCGAGATAAAGCACCAATTGATCACACTCTATGAAGCCCTGATCTGTAATTATCCCTTGCGTTCACTCCAAAATAGTGCAACAGTTTACTCTGTTCATCCCCATGGTTGCGCCAAAGATATATAGCTTTGGATCCATTCCCTGTCATTCTGAACCAACCGAGTCGGCGGCCATTCCGTGTGGCCAAGTCGGATGGCCATCACTCTGGGGTGCACGACGGGCGTTTGCATGTCATGTGAAGACATCAACTTCTCCACATCCCAGCGCCAAAAGGACACCTTGCCGTTGCAACATTCGCGTTGCCGACTGAAAAGTCTTCAGGGTGCTCAAGATTTTGTGATTTTTCCGCTGAGCCGCTGCAGAACAAAAGAGAACCACATGCAAAAGGTCCCAAAATGGATTTTGAATGATGTAGGCACGTTTCTCGAAAACAGGTGTTACACATTGATTTCACCATCCTCTTGGCAGAATTGACCTCTGTCTACCCCCTAACATAGCTTTGAGCTGTGCAAAGCTCTCTTCAGACCTCCTCCCTTGGCTTCTGAGCTTCCAGCTGTGGCATCGGGCATGCTGGAAACAGAGATGAGGTGTTTCCCATCACCCGTAAAGGCGAGGCCTGTGCAGTCGGTCGCTGGCTTTTGAACTGGGTTTCTTCAGGAAGTGTGCGAAGCATGCAAGACCGTCTTATAACTATTGGGTCTCTACTTGGGTCTGGAGAAACTTGACAAGAAGCTGTCGGGTTTCTTGAAACGAATGTCTTTTTTAGCCTGATGTATTTTTCTCCAAGCGCTGCGGAGCACCACAACACCGTGGAACCACGCGCCTATGATGTCCAACCTCTTGTTGCTGGGATGCAAGACTTTAAGCGTCTCATCCTTGAAATCCTGCGATGGCGGGAGCTAACAAGCTGAAAAAAGCCGCGCCAGCAGTTCATATAGCACTGAACCATCATTCCCTCACACTGTCCAAGCATAACGCTGCATTTGGGAGCATGTTCCTCCAGTAAATGCCAAGTACCGCAGGAGTCGCCCCACCAAAAAAACCACGTCTCGGAGTGGAAAAGGCCAGGCTTCACCGTGGCTTCGGCCCAACTCTTCTACGGGGGACCACTCCATGCCTTGGTCTCACCCAAGAGGTCTGCCTGACGGGTCACTCGAAGGGGGGTCGGCCGACCTCGGGGGTGGAAGATGGATGAACATGGAGAAGAGTGAACCCGGTTTGGGGATGCTTGGGGTGTCTGATAATAGCTCTCTGATGCAGGAGAGGTGATGAAGGTGTGACCGCCCCATCGACCGGGAGGCCCTGGGGATGGTGCATCATTCCTTCTCACATTTAGGGCTTCAATGCTTCAACGATTCCAGTCGGCTAACGCTTCAACATCTTCAACGCCTTTCTTCAGCCAAGCCGTGCCGACCCATTCCTCCCGCCTTCGACACGCCGACGACACTAATCTGCGCCGCCTGGCGGCCACCAAACACGGCGGTGAAGTGTCTAAGGGGGCTGCGGAAACCAGCAACATCGCGGCCTTCGCGCTGATGCGTTTTTTTTGCGCAACGTTTGAACGATCCTGTTCATGGATGAAGAGCTGGAAGAAGCAAAAAAGATACAAAAGTCAGACGACTTTGAAGCTCCTGGATATAAAAGCCAGGCGTCTTTCAGCCCAGCCCCAAGCGACACTCTTCGGACCCATCTGAGTGTGTGGCATGTTGGTTGGATCCATCTTCAGACCTGGTTGGCGATTTGGGAAGAGAAGACACTCATGTCATTGTGAACGTTAGGTTCGTAAAACATCGTAAAACCCCCCATGAAGAGCTTTTTAGAATCCAGTCATGGATGTACATGGTATACGTGTCTTTTGTTTGAATCAAGCGTCCGTCCACCCATTGCGCAGGTCGTCTGACCGCAAATGAAACACTCATTCTCACCACTGGCTCGGCCAGTCTTCCAACCTGCACCGCCGCCGGGTGAGGTCCCGACCCCACGCGCTCGCCAATCGCCAGAAACTTCCCATTGTGAGACCTCAGTGGAAGTCAGCGTCCGTCATCTTCAGTCGAAAAAGCTGAACTAAAGACCCAGATCTGTAGACTGAATGGATTTCTACTGGAATCCAGTCATTCAGGGTGAAGGGTTCGTGCGACACTCTGACAACAGCGGACATTGTGGACAAACCAAGCATCCGGCTTTGTCATAGCAGTAATGATACGATGCCTGCGGGTCATAGCAAATGAGATACTTCATGCATGTTAGCGAAATTGCGAGCACAGGCCCCTGCAACCACTGGACCAACTCGAGCTTTCGGTTCTCAAGTTGAACTGACTGAATTTCATGAAACATCATGAAATGCAATCCTGTTTCCCTTCAACGAGATGTTCTTGCACAGTTCTAGAAGTCTGGCTGTTCTTGGGAGGTGTCTCTCTCCCCGAACAGCAGGGGGCCGCCTGGCATCTCTGCCCAGGAAGGACAACCGCTGTCGGTGTTGGTGGCATAGCGCCACATGACGACCCACGCAGAAGGCGAAGGTGTCTTCACCCAAGGAGATCACCTGGTTCGATCGGATTTGAGCCAGAAGAGGTGAAGAAGTTTTGGAACATGTTCAGCACTAAGTATAATAAGTGGTGTACATCTATGTATATACCTATTACTCATGTTGCTATATGTTACAGTAATGCATGTATTACATCTTCTTCTGTCAAAAGAAACAACACGCGGTCTCCACGTCTCAGGGTGGATCGCAACCTTAGACAAGTGGTTTGTACAGGGGTGGCAAGTCCCTGACTCCTGCGTTCCTTGCCTGGTTGTTGAAAAGAACCCTCCAACTCACCAAATTTCAGTGCAACAATGGTCTTGGTGAGGTTGGCTCATCTACTCATCCACCCATCCATCCCATCTACCCACCCACTACGCCACTGGTGATCCACAGTGGAAAGCAAGGTGTACCCAATCTCCAAAATCCTGGAGCCTTATTCGTCAACCCCTTGGCTTCAGGAGCTCTGACTTCAGAGGCAAAACACATCCAACATCATCCAACCTTCCCTAAGAATATCTATACCAGTAGTTCCAAAGGGGTGCCGAGCTTGGAGGATAGGGGTGTCCATTATCTACTCACTGAATGTGACTCCATGTGACTCTTGAGGAGTTCTGATATGTTCTGATCCTTGCGTCCGAACCAAACCGAGCAAGCTGGGAGGCGGAAAGGCTTTGAGCTTCCAGGCCGCATCCTTGATGGGACTTGGGTAGACACCGAACCTCAGACGCCGTGAACCGCGGTTACGGCCCAGGCAGATCCTTCTCACCCAAGGAGAAGAACATGTTGCCTGACATGAGCCGAAGGTTAAAGGATGGGGTGGTGGAATCTCAATGCATCGGTGGTACCTTTCTGGTGCATTGGCAATCTTTGGGGCTGACCGATCGACTCTTCTCCTCAGCTTCCCAACGCATGCGCTAACCGCAGCTTCACATCCGTCTCCTTGGTGTTTGGGGTTTCAGCGGGTCGCAGGTGCAGGCCTACTTTGGGTAGGTGGATACGGGGCAAATTGGACAATTCCAGGACCCAAGGTGGCCCAAGTCATTACAAAAGAATCAAAAAAAGACCTTCACACATCGACTTTACTGACTTTGTTTCTACCACCAGTTTGTGGTTCTTTTTGAGTCACTTGAGGCCCAAGAGAGTTCCATCATGCTCCATCTCTCAGACCAATGACTGATTGCCTGCATTTAAACAATGCCCCGAATACTGGAGGGAGACAGGAAGACACGAGGTCTGAGATGGTCTGAGCTTCAGGCAGTTGCGCCTGACGATTTGCATTCACTAATTCACATGTCAGTTTCAGAGGGTGACCAGCCACTTGCCGACCCCACCAAGCTGTCCCTTGCAGTTCTAGAGCTATAGTGAAACATGACATGATGACATGGCTTGTCTTTTTTATGCTTCGCTGCATTTGTCGAAAATCCATCATGTCCATGCCGCGTTCGGTATGAACGAGCAAATTGCCTTGCGGAAGAAAGCTCACAGCTTTTGCTGTGAGGAGCATGGCAATCTTTCTGTGTTAAATCGGCCAACAAAGCAAATCAAGGCAAGCAATCTGAGTGTCAGGCGGGTAGAAACAAGCAAACCTGACTGTTCTTCACCAAACGAAGCACTGGTTTCTAAAGCAAACTGGCCAACATCATCGTACATATGATTGCTGCGTGTTTGAGAGGTAGCAAAGGTCCTTGTCCTCCTTCAAAACCAATATTCAAGCTACTTGACTCCAGCATATAATCAGATCTCAGATAACATATGCTGAATATAAAGAGCTCTCAGAATGTCTCAAAATTCAGATTCGGATCCACTCCTTCCTGATTCAGTCTCCATTTCACTGAGGTTCTCATCATCGGATTCCAGTCCCTCCACGAAGACTCCTGCCCACAGCTTCTTGAAGCGTACAAAGGGATCTTCCCTTCCTCGTCACGGCACGTGCTGACGGATGGAGAAGACGCAGTTTTTACGGAGAAAGGCTGTTGAACGTGGGTTGGCCTTCTTCGGAACCCGGGATCCCCATGCCAGGGGATTGATGCACTAAGGGAAAAGAGCTATCACCCTGAGCAAAAACTATAGGCGTTTCCACTTCTGGACAAGTGAAACTTTATCCGTTTGAGTGGTTTTGGTGGTAAATGTGTATACAAATGCCTACATTGACCCCCAAAGCCACCCCAATGTATATATATATATATATGTCACATTTGGGACCTTGGAGCAAGTGGGATAGGTACACCGATCGAAATCCGCTGAAACCCAAGTGTCGGTAGATGCGAACGGGAGCCAAAAGGATTTGGATAGCAATCCAGAGAGCGAGCCCTCCAATGATGCCGTAGCCGATGGAAAAGGTGAAGGGCATGGTGACCATGGAGACAAAAGCTGGCATGGACTCCTGGACGCCGAACATGGACCATGGTCTCACTGATTTTTCTTCAGCGCAAGCTATACAAGTACTGCAAAACACTTACCCTTGAAGCAAGAACCAAGTTTTATTTGATTCTCAAAACCCATCTCCGCACCTTAATCAACCCATGAGCTGGCTGATTAAGTTGGTTTTCAGAGATTCCTTACCGCACGGAAGACCACTTAAAGAAAAAACATCTTAACTGCCCTCCTCCCAGCAAGACCCCGAAAAGAATCAACCCAAGTAGTTGTCTGAGCACAGAGATTGCACCCTTGTCGAACATCCACTTACAGGCTGGAGGAGCTTTAGATAGCACCTGTTGGAAGGTCGACTCCAAGGGATCTATGTTTGTCCCATGAAAATCCCGTTAGCCATCCGCGGTTTTATTAAAATAGTATAAACTAGTCATCCATATACTTGAACTAGCCTCTCAATATGTCCTTTTCTTCCTCACTTCTGGCCAAGGCCTTTCTTCTCCAGTCCCGCTCCAGTCCATCGATGGGGCGTCTGAACCCGAAGCTTCCGCCCTCCGCCCGACTCTCCGATGGGTGTCTTTCCGATGCGAGGATCTTCGGATCGTCACCACCCGTTGGGTCTTCGGATCTTCGGATTTCAGGCTCTTTCAGGGGACTCCAACACACACGCCATGTATACGATCCCCGTGCCCATGTCACGGGTCCACGATCACCGTGCCCATCCCCGTGGATTCCCACGTGGACCGTGGAGAGCGAGGGCTCCTCATAGTCATCCCAGTCGATGCCCCGCACTGAGCTGCACATCAAGGCCCCCAGCAAGCACAAAATGGGCCCCGACGCCAAGGGCGGCACCGCCGAAACCACCGGAGCGATGGGAATCGCCAGCAGGAAGCAAGCGCCGGTGACCTGCAGGTCCAGGAGCCCGAACAGACAACCCCCAAACAAGCAAGCAAGTGTTTGTCCAGTGTTTTGGGATAGTTACGGGAACATCCAAATACAGTAATAAATTAGTAATATTAGTATAGAGACGCAAAACACGAACGGTAATAACATGTAATAACAATGCTGCTAGTGTTCTCTACAAACATTGCAGGATTGCAGGGTTTCTTCTTCTCCAATTTGAAGGCTGTGTTCTTGGAAGGCATGATGAATATTTCCACAACCGGACTGCTTGGAATGGTGCCTTCGCGATCCATTTCTGACACAAACAAATCAAAAAAATAGAAAATCACCCGTCTGGAGTCTTGGGCTAACTTTCAGAACTTTCTGGTGGAAATAGATGAAATACCTCCACCACAACACAGTGTTTTTTGCTTGGGGGTTGACGACTGTTTTGCCCTTCCTAATCTCCAATCGCCCTCTCACATGTCCAAGAAGGAACAAAAACACGAGGGTCAAGGACGACAAACCTCATTTGGAACGTTTCAATATGATTCAACTGATTTCAACCCCTCCATTCCTGCTTCCTTCCCACTCCCTTCCATCCTCCCACTCTTCCATCCCCACCCCACCAGCGACGCGAGTCCCGTCTTGGCGCCGTCCGCCACGCCGGCGGTGGACTCCGCGAAGGTGGCCACGGTGGAGACGCCCAGCATGGAACCGATCAACGCAGCCAGGGCGTCCGCGAGGTACGCCATGTTCCTGGGACGAGACACATCGGTGGCAACGCGGGTTGCGCCCAGGTGAAGGGGTGAAGAGACAGTGAATACAAGAAATTAAAAGGAGGAACACTAGCTCTTGAAGACATGTCCAAAATTCTGTTTCAACTTGCAAGGCAACTCAAGTTCCATGCCGCATGTCCCACCACACGGATTCTGTCTCCAACCCTACTGTGGTCGCTAGAGCGGGGGTCAATCATGATCACTCCCCAAAAAACACAACCGGCTTTTCAAAACCAGGGAAGCTAGAGTTTCTACAGCAAATGTTAAGCAGCCACAGGAGACATGTGATTCTTTTGGAAAACCTTGGGCCGTGAACTTGGGAGTTTGTTTGGCAATCAGGTGTCTTTTGAAGTGCTGAGGATTTGATATATTTCTTGTTTTAAGTCATTTTTGTGGAGGAAGCTGAAGGGTTCAATGTGACAAGCCATTTCGGCACATTGTCTGTAAGGGGACATTCATTCTATCAATATATACACATTGCCCGGTAGCTAATTCTAGAAGAAACCAAACAATAATGTCGAGCCATGATTAATAACATACCCCTAAATGAAGCTAAACATACCCCCACAATAAAAACAAGATGGAACCCACGAACCCGAATGCACACACGTACTCAAAAAACAAACGGCCAAACATTATTTAATTGACTCGCTTGTGGGACACTCTTGTGGAAAACTCTTGTGGGACACTCTCGTGCGACACTCTTGTGGGACACTCACACTTGTGGGACATTCTTGTAGGACACTCTTGCGGGACACTCTTGTGGGACACTCTTGTGGGACACTCTCGTAGGGCACTCTTGTAGGAGACACTCTTGTAGAACACTCTTGTGGGACACTCTTGTGGGACACTCTTGTGCGACACTCTCGCACGACACTCTTCTGGGACACTCACTCTTGTGGGACACTCAAAAAGACACTCTTGTAGGCGTCACTCTTGTGGGACACTCTTGTGGGAGCCAGTCTTGCAAGAAAACCTTGCGCCTGTCCCGAAAAAAGGCGATGTCATAATTCACTGCGCTTGCCAACAAATGTGTATACATCTTTACCACTTCGCGCCACCATTACACTGCGAAGTGTGAAAAAAACGCATCGCAAGCAATGCACAAAGTACTGCGCCTGCCACAAAATATTGACTTCGACATCCCCCAAGTGCTGCGCCTGCCACAACCATGAATTTCATTTTGAGAGGACCTCGCGAAAGTATTGCGCCTGTCACACAAAACAACTGACGTGCCACGCCGCTGCATCACCTGTGACGGTGCACAATGACGTGCGACACCTGTGACCAAGTTCTGAGGTCTCACGCGGACCGTTGCGCAACGTCGAGTGAACACCCCTGGACCCACAAATGAAACGGGAACCCGTGCTACGCATTCGGGAATCAAAGAAAAAAACACATTCCTCTTCTCTTCATCACTCGGAATCATGTGTTTTTTTTCAAAATTCCATCTTCTTCTTATCACTTGGAATCACGTTGTGTCCCTTCTAAAAAACAGTTAAACAAACACCAAACCCGAAATAAAATGTACTCTAAATAAAGCCAAAGATGTTTGTTGGCTGGAACATAGAACATATATAGTTATCAAATAGGAAATGTAAGTTAACTAGCAGTATTTAATGGTGTGGCTTTTCGTTAGTTCCTGTCTTACAGTAGTTTGATTACTTATTGAATCCTGCCCTCTTCTTTTCATCACTTGGACGCACCAAAACCCAGAACCCGTTCGGTAAAAGTTCTTTCTAAGTTTCTTATTGAAAAACCCACCAACAATTGAGCAAGTTCACTCTGGGAAAGGTACCCCTCATGAAGCCACCATACCCTAAATAAAGCAAAAGATTCTTCCTGACAGAAAAAACAACACACCATTAACTACACATTTCAGATTGTCGCCTAGCAGCGGGAGAGAGCTCTTTGCGTCAGAAGCGATCTGTTCTCAAACACATTCTTCTCATTACGCATTTCTTCTCCGTGTTGGAAAACAGTGCATCTCCGTGTTGTTTTTTGCTTTTTTGAGACACATGATACTTACTGTAGTAAACTTGCAGTACTCGTCCCTGGAAAGAAGTGCCAAAGACCAAAGATTTGTCATTTCAGCTTAAGTAACATGACAATCCCGAGAGTCTTTCTTTCAGATTTGCTGACTATGGTATTGACATTATTCGTATCCATGACTCTATGCTCCAAGAATGACTTAGAATGGTGATCGACTGGAAGTTCACACAGGTCATCCCAGACCGCCCAGGTCATGGGCGCCATCTCGTTCACGTTGAACGACACCAAGGTGCTGCCTCGCCAAGGGCAAATTCCCTCGCCGGTCCGTTAAGCCCGCCACCTGTTCGTGTCAGAGTTCCGCCAGGTCAAACATGGCGCCAGAGGGCTGGGGTCATGGAAGTATTGGTATCGACAGAGTGATCGAGGAAGTATTAATTGCTTCATACCTTCTTATCCGCTGGGAAAAATCTCAAAAGTACTTGGAAGGTGCCAACAGAAGAAGTTAGGTGAAGGACCAAGTGGTCCTTTACACGGCACGACCACAGCAACTGCACCTTTTGGCCCCTAAGGCCCTTAAAATGAGACGAACACCCGAGCGCGCCTTTCGCTCGGTGCGACGGCATGGTACTTTGGTACTTAGCTCAAATTCACTCTCTCTGATGTGGGGGGCCCTATCTCGTTTAGACTACTTAAGCAGGAGGTCATGTCACAGTATCTCGTTCAGACTACTTTAGTAGCAGATCACACTATCTCGTTCAGACTACTGTACTTTAGTCACATCAAACAAAAGTATCTCGTTTATGTGGGGACCCTATCTGGTTCACAAGCGAATACTGATGATAGACAAGCAAATAGAGCATGCCGTAGACTACTTTAGTAAAGCCTATATAAATAAAAGTGGTTGCTCAGCTGTTGACTCGCTTTTGTTTGGGAATCAGAAACTCTCTCCAACACAGCTGATCCAATTACTGGGGCAAATAGGCATTTTCAGCCGAACAAACCTGGTTTAGTAGGGGAGGTAAATGACATCCCCTTTCATTGGGGGTGTTGTACATGCAATTAGTCTGACAGACACTCTCGGGATCCTTTCACCCTGCCACAGCAACACAAAGCAAGCAAATATCAACTGCAACATTCACAGGTCCTACATCATTAGACAAGTTGACATTGACCCTTCACAAACCAACAATGAACATCTCACCCTCATATCACATGAACTGTCGTTGAACTCTCGAATTTTCGTTCTCTCCTTGGCCACAGCAAAGAAGGTCCCTGAGCTGTCCAGGAGGTCGGTGTAGCAAAAGGTCCCCACCGCCGTCCAGAAGGTGGCAGCCAGCGCTGGGTCCGAGGCGGCCGCGAAGCCACTCCACAGGGATCCTGGACGTCCGGGGCGCGCGCTTCGGCGCGCGGCTTCGCTTCGTAGCGTCCAAGGTTGGACCGTGCTGGGAGGGAGGAGGTAGATGAGATGTGTCGGGTATGAACATACCAGAGGAACGCTGAGGGAACATGAAACACATATTAGTAGTTTGTATCATTCTCTAGAACTAAAGGGTCAGAGGAACCTGGATCAAAATGGATCAGCAGTAAAGCTCCGTATGGAAGAGGCATGAATAAAAATACGTTCATGTGCACCACAGTCTAGCACCTCCTGCTCGAAGTCATAATTTCAAAGAGTAACCAAGTCTGCAAAACACGACAGGGATGCCTCTGCTAAGTGACTTGAACAAATGCAGCGTTTTCAGAGTACATTGCACAATCCCCCAGTTAGGTGGTTGGAACCTCATCTAAAGGACATCTTGAGGTCTGTGCCTGTGCCATTTACTCTGAAACCACCGGCATTTTTAGGGCGACGCAGTTGGGGGAGGTCAACGGAAGCGACCTTCACCGTCGCGCCCTTCGTTTTTTCGCCCCTTCGCCCCTGTTGGGGCGCGCGAACTGGCGCCAAAGCTGCCTGACAAACCACTCAAGGAGGGAGAAGCGAACATGCTCGTGGGAACGTAGATCTTGAAGTCAGGATTGCTCCTACAGGGTGAATGTAGAGGTGTGGACCGTGCAACGGGGACAGGGCGGATGTAGTGTGTGTTTTTGGATGAACATGATTCATGTAGCCAGTGAACAAACATGGAAAACGCTTCTGGCAAACATGAACTTCTCACAAGTGACCCCATCAACCCATGGCCCTAATTATATACTATAGCATACTATAGCTTCTACAGACTTCCTCGTCATCCCCTCTACCTCATCGGAATACTAAGAAACTCCCCGCCCAACTGCCAACTGGTTGAACAGAATAACGTCCCCACGCTACGTACGCATCGATGTGTATACACGGCTGCTTGCCTGTCGCCGTCCGTGCCGAAGGGGTAGCCAAAGACGGAGTGTTCTTCGCCCCGCGCAAAGCCCTCAATCCAACAGACTGCGGTGCCGCACATGATTCCGATGAGTGGAGCTCCGGGCACTTTCGCCGAGAACAAGGTGGCTGTGATGCAAAGGACCTGCAGGTGGCGGACATGGGCGGACGACCAGGTGGTGCAGAGCTGAGTTGTTCGGTCGGGTGCCACCAACCACTAAAGTTCTCAGTGGTGGGACTTTGCATCTCTGATTGATGGAAATTGCTTGGCAATGGACAGGTAGACTCTGGTCATACAACATCATATTGAGCCCTCAAGTCAGTTCACATGTATAAACCTCCACAATACCATCTCATGGCTCACGACTCGTTTGATACGCGTCTTTGGGTCTTCGAGGGTCCTTGGAAGTCACACAAAAAACCTGGAACAAGAGCCACCCAATTGAAGAGACGGCCAAAAGGTGCATGCAGCCGATATTTATGCGTCAAGACCAGTGGCAGCCCCCACCTTTTTTCGATGGTTCATGTTCCAAGAATGATGTCATAGTTGCAAAATGATTGATAGAACATCTCGATCTCCCATAGTCTTCATTGATGGATATCTCTGAACTCTTACAAAATCCAACCTACCCACAATCGCCCAGTTCCTCTTCCAGCACCCCATCTCAGAGACTCGCAAACGTTGCTGGGCCGAGGTCCTTAACGAGGCCAAGGCTCGGCAATACTCAGCCAAAGCTTCGCTGCATCATAGTTGCTGGAGCTCAAGGAATTCAAGGTGACCAAGGTGGCTTTGTCTCCCACGCTCAAGCCCATGCCCTGAGGAATGTTTGGTCGCGCCAGCGGGTTTCTCTGAACATGTTTGAGCTATTGGATTGGCCCCAACGAAACCAAAATGGGACCCAACCTTTCAAGAAGAAGAGATGACACCCTCGTTCATCCCGCATGAAACAGCAGAACAATGTAGAACAACTCTGCATTTACATTCTAGCATGGTTCGAACTCTGTAGCTGGTCTCAAATAATTCTCTTTAAAGTCCTGTATAGACAGTAGTACAATCCCAAACCATCCATGGGACTGGAATATATAAGGGTGAGAGATCAAAAAGAAATATTTAACGTATCACTTACAAACATATTCACGCACATCCAAAAAATACTGCATAACTACTGCCTCAAAAAATATTCCAAGTCGCAGTAAGAGTAGATATTAGTAGTAAGAGTAGTAGTATCCGACACCGGTCCGACCGGCGACCTTCGGTCTTCGCCCGGTCTGACCGCACCTCGGATGTCTGAAACGCGATGAAGGTCAAGAAGAGTCCCACCCCTGCACCGATGGATTCCTCACGGGCGCGGTGTTCGTCGGCCCATCCTCATTCTCATGGATGGACTTGGCGCCCGCAATCAGAGTTGAGCAAGAGTCATGACCATCTGACCACCCCCGTCGATCAAATGTGTATTCATTTGTAGCCTCTCTTCTAACTTGACAAGCAAAACCACCTGAATCGCCTTCAAAATGCCTGTGGCAGAGACCCCTGCAAAGCGTGAGAAACAAACAAATGCCTCAAAGAATGTGGAAATTCCTGTAGTTTGATGTAGCATCATCTCTTTACACGAATGCATTTTCAGGAAGCGCTTTGTAGCGCCGCACTCGTCCTCCAGCTGGCAAAGAACGATCTGTTTTGATCCAGTTTCCAAACCTCCCGTCCTTAATCCCCTCTGGGAACAAGCGGATCATCAATGTCCGCAGTCCAGTGATGCTCAGCGTGATGAAGATCAAACCAGCCACGAAGACGGCGGCGAAGGCCGCATCCACTGGCAGGCCGCGGCCCAGGCAAATGGTGAAGGTAAAGAAGGCGTTGGTGCCCATACCTTAGGTGAATCCAACGGCCACGCTTGGCGGAAGGGGGGACCCAAATGATCGTCCACCCTGAAGCCTCTCATGAAATTCCTGGATGAAGCCTATTGCTTGGGTCCTTGCTTCATCTTGCTTCTGTGCTCGAATGTGTGTGCAAGAATGGACCAAACCAAGCGTCCGGGCGCTAGCATGAACGGGTAGTTGGACATGATGCCCATGAGCCAACAGCCGCAAAAGGCTGCCAGAGCAGTGGCGCACACCAACTGCTCACGCTTGTCGGGCATGACGAGGCTCAGCATGCCACTGTTCACTGGAAGAATATATGCCATGGCCAAGAAGGTGGTGATCCCTGCACGAATTTCGGTTGTGATGGTGGAGCCACGCTTCTTCACATCAAAAGGATCCCGAATGTTGAGATGGTGGAAGTTCCCGGCGAGGCCCAAGAATTCCAGCAAGGAAGGCCTGAACAGTTGGGACGTTGAGAAAAACGAATTGGATTCCAAGTGATCCAAATCCTTTGACCAAGTCTTCGCGAAGTCAATGACAGGTGGTTGAAATCGCTCAAATTATCTCAAATTGAGTCGAAGTGATTTTCTGGAAGTCCAGTTGGTTCAACAATGTTGAATATTATATAATATATATATATAATAATATATGTTGTGTAAAGGAGGATGCAGTCGGATGATCAGTTTCTCCATCTAAGGGGCTTCTTTGTCTTGAGGCGGATGGCATTCTTCGTGACGATTGGATCCTCCATGGCTCGGCACGATCCCGTCTTCTGCCCCCGTCGACTGGAGCCCACAGTCTGCTGGCGTAGCAGGTTCGAATCGATGGTTGGAAGACAGCAACCGTAGGGGGGTTTTCCGCGATGCGTGGAAAAAGTGAGGTGAAGAGGTAGGGGAAAGAATTGGAAAGAAACCATGAAAGCTGATTGGCACCACACTTTGTTGCAGTTCGAGAGTGGGTTGGTCTTAACATGGAGACAAACATAGACAGACTTTGCCGGCGGAATCCGTTCGAACTACCAAAACCCCACTCTTGCACACATGCACAGCTATATATAGAACTCCTGTCTTGACTCTGCATGCAGGAAAATGACACGTTTCAACCTTAATAATTCAGGAAACTAACTGAAGTTCAGCTGCTAATTTGAAAAAGGGAGCCAACATCAACACCGTTTGGGTCTCGTTCCGACACCTCGAGTAGCCATGGCGCGTTTCTTTCTCCTACAGCATGCTTGAATTCGTAACCGGCAATCAAACACGATGTGGTGCTCACATGGGATTTCGGTCTGCGTAGTTTCTTGATCCGACCCGATATCCATTGAGCCAAGAACTCACAAAGAAACAGCTATGGAGCATGAAAGACACACTACTTTTAACAAATGATGGCCACCAACCTGAATGCAAATCGAAAATAACATCTCAAACAGTGTGAGACTCTTGTAGGACCCTTCTGTGGGACGATCAACACTCCTCCCGACTCTTCGAAGGCACGCTTGAAGGACACTCTTATTAGAACCCTTGTGGGAAGCTCTTGCATGACACTCTGAGTCATGAGACATTCTTGCACTCTCTAGAGCTGTGCGACACTCTTGTCGAACCTGAATCCAAACCTCGCGGAAACTACTCTTTGTTCTACTTAAGAGCTTGAGCAACTTCTGAGCTACAAGCGCGCGACTTCTGTGAAATCTGGCACATCAATTCTTCAAGACACGCATTTCGTTGGAGGAGACGTCCTTCAGCGGGAAGTCCCATTACGTAGCCCTGGCATGCCCTGGCAAGAAGTTTCACAATCCAAGCACCAAGGAGAGCCCATGACGTGCCAATCCCAATAGCAACACCTTCACCGGCACATCACGATTCCCTGCGCCTGCCACGAAAACTGATTATGCCGCGATATGCCGCATTTTGACATGTCTAGCGAACTTGCACCACACCACACGTTTCGGATGATTTCGATCACGTTGCTTCACCCACATCACATCACTGATTTCAATCGCAATTCTATCTGAGACTTGGCACGCAAACGCAGCTTGGAAGCAAGCCCGTCAAGAGCAAATCCCAAAGGGCATCACTATGAGGAGCAAAGGGCATCGCTACGAACGGAGCGATCGGACGCTACGAACGGGGCTCCTGGCCTTACTACGAACGGAACAAGAACGCTACTTGGAGCAGATCCGACTGGCACGGCGACCTTCACCTCCAAAAGACCCCCCCGATCCAAACGCCACGCCACCGTCGACCGAAGCTTGGGCGCGCTGATGCTTCCATCGATTCGAAGCTTGGGCGCTGATGCCACCGGCGAAAGCATGTGGGAAAGAAAGGCTGTTGCCTTCTACCACCAATGATTTAGTTTACTTGTTCCCAATGGTTTAAGCTCCGTCCTGGGTGGAAACATGCTACCGTAGGTGGACGAATTATTCAAACCCTTTCAGGATTCACGCCCCTACCCCCCAAAGTTTAATGTTGACATGTTTGTGAAGGAGGTTGGCTTGAGTGGACGAATCAAATTCAAATCAAAACCGAGTCAAATCAAACCCCTGACAACTAAAACATATTTTCACTTATATGCAAGTTCAGTGGTAAGTGGATCCTTTCCAATTCCTAACTGGATCTTTCAAAATCGAGTTATGTTCACTCACATGTTGTTTGGTTCACATGTTGTAGGTTAAGTTTAATCATGCTTCATCAAACCACATCCCAGTGCAGCCGCTCTCCGCTGCAAAGACTTTTTGCTGCTCAACCCCCGATGCACGCTCTGCCAACTGCGTATTGAAACTCGGCAGCATTGATTATGCCAATCGTGTTTACGGAACACGAAGCACAATCCCCAAATCGTGATACTATGCACCACCAGCATTTGCCAGGAAAGCTCGGATCACCTTCAAATCACGATCTCCATGGGATTCAATCCACCTGTAGGCTTAAAGAAAGTCTTGTTAGCAAATTTGCTTTCAATGAGTCAATGTTTTATTCTTATTGCCGAGACGGGTTGTTGCTAACTGATGCTGCCTAGAGTTGTTGCTAACTGATGCTGCCTAGATGCTCCATCCTGGCAGCCAGTGCGATCTGCTTCGACTCTTCAGGTGATTTCCCCTCCGTTCGTGCTTTCTTGTGGGCACCGCTGTATACCTGACATTTAATAGGTAGAGACACTTGCTGGTTGACTTTTGCCACTGAATAGTTGTTTACTTAGTGAAAAGTTCGACAATTACTAACAGGCAAGGTACTGAATGCATCTTTTTGCGTGCAATTGTTTCCGGATCCAGATCGGAATCATGACCTGACCTCTTGGACTTCCTCGGAGCTTGGGACTTGGGTTCATTTGTCGTTGGCTTGGTTGCTGGTTTCTTGGCTTTGGCTTTCGAAGCGGTTGCTTTGCTCTTGGTCATGGTCTGACCTGTTGGATCATGTTTGGTCCGTGGCATTCTCTTGGCCATAGCCTTGGCCTTGCTGGTCGCATTGAGTTTTACAGAGGGACTGGATTTAGAAGACTCTGGACTTTCCACAAAGGACGGTTTCGGTTGCTCCATTTTGGAACCCTTCAGCTGTTCCACATTGGAAGGCATTTCCGGCATTTCCGGACAGGGAGGTTTGTGTTCTGACTGTTCCAAGGAAGGTCCCTCACCCGAACGTTCCACAGGTTCTGATTGTGAAAGTTCTGCAACTTCCTCAGGATGTTCTGACTGTTCCAACGAAGGTCCCTGATCCCCAGGTTTCACAGGTTCTGGTTGTGGAAGTTCTGCAACTTCCTCAGGGGCAGGAGAATTGTTGCCATGCTCGAGCTCATCCTCATAGTAAGGTGAAAGGTAAACAGGGAGCTCTTCCTGATGCTGAGTTAGGCTAGGCAAATCCATGGCCGCATCACCCCCCAAAACCAGCACCACAGCTGGCAGGGCCCGAGCTTTGGTCAATAGGCATGGATGCTATGGCGGAATCTACCTTTTTCAGGCACTCCCCAATGGCCAGTTGTGTAGAGACAAGCACCTGGTGTGCCACACCCTCAGCCAAACAAAGCCCTGAACCCTGCTTTGATGCGACACTGCCATGAAGATCGTGGAAGGTCGGGGTGATAGAAGGGCTGCCATTGTTGTCGCCATTGCCCCCGTTGTCCTGGAAGCATTGCTTGATTTAATCTTGGATGCTTTTTTGGGGGGAGCCAGAGTTGGATTGTGATTGTAACCCAAAAACATTTATGGCTTTCTGGAATCGGAATAACTCTAAAATTCAAAAGCATGACCACTCTCCTCAACACTGTCCAATTGGGTTTCCTCAGGAACTTTCATGTTCTCGATGAACCAATCGAAGTTGAAGTTCGACAGGCTGTCCTGGGCGGGCGGAAGCGGCTCATGTTTGATTGGACTCGGGCATGAAATCACATCAACGCACTGGGATGATGACATTTGGTGGTTCTGATCCAAGATTCTTCCAAGCCAAGTTGGTTATTTGGTGGGGACGGAGATGAGGAGTCAATGAACTCAGTTGCTCCCATCCGGCGCAATGAGGGCAACCTGAGGTGTTGGTGAGGCAGGTGTTGTTGATAACTGGCAGCTAGCAAAGAACATGTGTTGAATAAATTGGCCATTCTCTGCAAAGTTGCGCTTCTGCTTGTTCCGCCGATTCGATCATATGCTCAAATGGGATAGGCCCCTCCTGCGGTTCACGCACAGGGACAGTCACAGGACCCAGCTCCAGCTAAAGGTAGGATGACAGTGCGTAGCAAACGATGCCTTCAAAAGAATTGATTTGGCCAGTGGCTCCTGGTCCTGGTCCAAGAGAGGGCTCTCGAAGTCTAGTCCCCTCCTGGTCCTGCCTGCTGGTTTCTTCGTTGGAGCCTTTGACTTGACTAGTCGAGTCGCAGGTCGTTTTTTGGGTACCCTTAAATCTGGAACCAGAGTCACCGTTCCCACCACCGGCGGCCGATTGATCATCGTCATCATCCTCATCCCCGCCATGTAAAGGTGAGCGTGGCTCATCAGAGTGTTCCTCGTCATCTTCCTGTTTGGTTGCTGTTTTTTTTTGCTTTCCCTTTTGGTTTCTTTCCTTTCGGGTGTTTCTTGGTCTCAGGCTGATGTTCCGGACTCTCACCGCCTTTGTCCCCAGATGAATCTGATGAGACACGGGGTGGCAATGCAAATTCATTGTCGAGCAGTCGACCTAAGCTACCGTTTGTTTTTGAGAGATTTTTTGGGGTTCAAGTTCAAAGAAACCATTTATGTGCATCGAGCTGGCTGCTTTGAGGCGGATCGGATGATGCAGCTGGCCGAGAGGACCAGGGAGCAGCTTCGGAAGTGGCTGTTCGGTTGGCAGGCGTAGAGGGAGCAATAAGAGATTGTAGGTCAAATGCCTTGGCAGTGCAGTGGGCTGAGTAGCCACCAGCTATACAATGCGAGTTCGAACGCTTCAAAGCTTACAAAGATTTCAAATCAAACCAAGCTGATGATGTCAGATTGACACCAAGTTACTGGTACCCGAACTGATGCCGCTGTAAGGGGAACTTCTTCCACATCGTCAGAAGAGTCATGTGGCCGTCTAAGTCTACAAGGCATCCTAGTATATAAAGTGCCCTGCCAACAGTAGCTAAGTCCAATCTCAGGGCCACAAAAAGCTACTGTACTTGGTAATAAATTGAAAGTTCATGTCAAGGACTTTGCTGATTGACTGCCGACCATTGTGTTTTGCACAATTTCGATCATTACCTCATTTCAAAGCGAAGCTTTTTTCAACAGCCTCAAGCCTAATAATTGGACAGATCTGGTTTGGGGGACGGCGCAATTGTGAAAACTGATTATGTCATAAAAAGAAATCATGTGTTTATAACTCAAACAAATACTTGCTATAGGCTATATTGCAATGTCTACATTCCATGATCTCCGCCCCCCCATCGCAAAATGCCAAGTTCCCTTGACTTCCCTCGGATTGCCAGCTCCAAGTAGATCAACACAGAGTTTGCTCTCATAAGTTGAAAGGAGTGTACTGTTCAATAGAATCACATAGAAAAGGTTTTGCAAGTATCCTTCCCGAACAAATAAAGGGCTTTCAAGGGCGAGCTCCATTTGGCTGGGACGATATATCCCCAACATGATGTGGTCAGGATCAAAATGAGAGTGAACAAGACTTCGGAAACACTGTCCGCTACACCCACTGCCGCAAAGGACTGGCCTACATCAATTTGATGTTTGCCTCGGTGATATCCATTTCACCGCTCAGGACTGCGATGGGGCGGATGGGAGTAAGCTGCTTCTTGCCATCGTTCCCACGGTCCAGCCTATTCAAAGGACACACCAACAAGTGATATAAGGAAGGGTGCACGCGCAACATGACCACATAACATGCCAATGACTTGAAAAGAGCCTGCATCTCCAAGCCAGGGAGAGGTTCTTAGTATTCTTGAACACGCTCACATTGGCCCGTGCACCAAAGTTTTTGGTGGTAATTCCGGAATTGGATTCCTTGGCCCCTTTCCCCTTCTTCTGAACCTTTTTCTCCTGCTTGACTTCCTGCACGTCCTTGAGCATATCCATCAGGAAAACCAATGGCTTCACATTGGTGATGGTGCCATCCTTTTCGGTGTGGTGTGAAATCTCCAGCTTGACCTAGGTTGTGGATCATAACAACAAAATTTATGTATTAAGCACTTGCCAGGACATGATAAACCCAACATCCTACAAGACAGTGATTCTTATGATTTGCGCTGGCTTGGGGCCTAGGTACCTCCCCTTGGTCTTCCATTTCCCGGAGGACATTGCTGAGCGCGATCACCGAGTCAGCACAGTTCATCGAGGCCAAATGAGTTGGCAAATCCTTTTTCTCCAGCAGGATCAACGTGTTTCCATCCACGTTGAATGAGAACCAGCGCCCATCCGGCTCGTTCATGACTTCACGTGCTTCCTCAAAAAGACACTGCTATACTCTTTACCTGACATGTTGTTTTCATTGCAAGCTTAGAGAAGAGAAGAGTTTTGGGAAAGCTGTTCTTTCAAGGGGCTGGTCCATCCCGCCATTCCCCAGGACCAAAGGAGAACCTTAGAAGAGTGGAAGCTTGTGTGAGCTTGACAGAATTATTATCGCGCAAGGTTTTTGTGTCATAGTGCACAGCCCAGCCAAGGAGCATTTCCCTATACTGAAAGAATTGGTTCTTTGATCGAGAAGTCAAGAACAAAGCATCCCCATTCTCTCCACCCAAGATCAACTCACAGCTGTTGTTGATAGACAGCTTCTGCCTTAGAAAGCTGCGCAAAACCATATAGCAGCTGTGGTGGAATGTGTGGGATACTGCGGCTGCAACAACTAGCTGTTGGTTGTTGGGCCATGTTGTTCAATATATGTTATTCAAGTAAGAAACGGTTTGGGAATCTTTGAAATCTCCTCCTGGCTGACAGATGTGTCCGCCACTTTGATCTTCTTGCAAGGAGGCTCTTCGACTTTTGTGGTCCTTCATGGGAACGCAACTTGGTGAATCAGTTGACGGGAATCAGGTTGTCTCTGCGATATCGTGCCTGATTTTGGAATGACGTGCAATGTCACAAAACGTCAATTGTATTTAACGAACCCTAACCTAACCTATCCTCACTCTCAGTGTTGGTGTTGTTTCCTGTCATAGTAAACCACATCCTTAAAGAGCGAAGGATTCCAATTGAACCCACTCAACATGAACCCACTCAGTATGATTCCTCAGAATGAGAACCCCCCAAAAAAGAATCCAAAAATCAGAACCCCCCTGAAGTCCTGGCAACATCAGCAAACCAGAAGTCGCCATCTTTGTTGTAAAGCTCGTTGTGCGCAGTTATCTCAGAAGTCGCACGATCTTTTGTACATTCTGTTTCGGTCCACTTGGAAGCCAAGCTCTCCAAGATCAGTAGACGGGTGCCTTGCTGTGTGCAAACCCGATATGATTTGGTAGAAGACGGGTTTGCACCCTCCCGAAGGGCCGCGATGAGTGGGCCAAAGTTGGGGAAGTTGCCCAACTGGATCTTGTCGTTCCTGCACCATTCATACAGCTGGTTGGACACCCTGCTTTGGATCTCAGCCCCACTCTGATCCAGCATCAAAGTAGCGCAGTGCATCTCCTTCTTGTCAGCGATTTCCTGTGCGGATTTTGGATAGTGTAGCATGGGGAACCAGAACTGTTAAAGGTGATTCCAGGCAGCTCAAGAAGAGTATGATGTTAGCTTATGTGACTTTCTCCACAAGTGTTTGCTTCAAGAAACTAGGGAACCATGTCCTCAAGTGCTGATAGACAAGGCCATCCATCATAGCCGTGGCAATCAACCAAGATGGTGTGCTTGCTGGTGGGGTAGGAGAAGGCTGTCAGTGTCTTCCGAACAAAATCACTGCCACCAGCCACCTCACCAACTGGTTCGAGGTCATGCGGGAATATGATGCAACTGATGTGTAGTAGGAGCTATGGTAAAGTCATGGGTAGTCAAATCCTATATCTATATATATTTTGTGGTGTTTGTACCAAGACCTCATTTGTTCAAACATGGTCGCCAGTTGATCCAAGTGTTCAAATGTTCAAGTACAGCTCTTCGAGGACAATGAGTATGTGTGCAACTATCAATGGTCCCAGGATGTGCATTGCCAGATATTGCCAAGAAGCCTGCTTAAGTTCTTGTATGTCGGTAAATGCCCTTCCCAGGTGAGGAAGCTGATTCTTGGCAGGGCTTACCTCAAAGGCGCTGCTTTGAGGCTGGGAGGTTCGTGGAAGGATTGGAAAGTAAACAAGGCTGAACTCTGGCACCCGAAAAACATTCTAGTAGCTTTGACCAAAGGACAGCTGAGGGTTTCCACATTTGGTTGCGCGGAAGCATGGTGATGTTGTGAACGACTCCTGTTTTCCATGCAGTCGTTTGCCTGAACAGGTTTCCTTTCTGGTTGTAGATCAGGGCCAAGCCGGTCAACGCACCATCGCGCTTGCCATATACAGAATCCTCGAATCTGGATAATGGCATGAGAAAGGATCCCCAAGCCACAAGCAGAACATTGAAATTTAATGTTCATGTAAAACTCAACTCAATGGTTTCCGCACAATTACCCAAGTTGGGCTGAGGATCAGGGTTGAACACCCACGTCAATGGTCGAAGTGCCAAGTTGCGCTCTTTTAGCGATAGCTGCTTCCTTGGAGCCGGGAAAGAAGAGATACTGTAGTCCCTGTGAAAGACCCTTGAAGCCATTGTCCATGGCATGATGCACCACACTATCCATATTGAAGAAAACTATCTATTGACGAGGACTAGTCGTTCACATCTGCAATACTGTAGGAATGAAGATTTACATACTACAGGAATTTGCCCAAGCTGAACCATTTCACTTGAACCCACCAATGTCAGAAAGTTTAAGATAAGGTTCTCCAGATTGTACCTGACATCCCTAATGTCCGCTTCAGCCGACTGTCTCTCCCGGTCCAGCTGGTCATCAGAATCATCGTCTGACCCACCCTCCTTGTTCTCAGCCTCTTCATCCTGCTCGTCAGAACCATCATCATCCTCCTTCTTCTCAGCCTTCATGAGCTTCCTGCACAGGGAGCAGTGTAACCAACTATAGTTAGTAGCTGGATTGCACGAGCGCCAAACACGCTGGCGAAAACATCGATTAGTCATTTGTTGACAACGATATGCAATACAATCATCAAGCTTTGCATCTTGGGGGAGAAGTGGTTTTCCTTAATTAAGTGTTGGTCCTTTGCGCTGACTGCCCAGCCCTGTTGGGGTGTACAAGTATCGCGATGCCATTCTGCTTGTAATCTGCCAGCGTGTTCGCCAAAAACGACACAAAGAAGTCTAGCTTCACACTTGACACGATGCCAACCGCAGGCAGGTTCAAGAAGAGCACCACCATGTGGTCTGCCGCGGAGCAGCCCACTTCCGCTGAAACTTCCCTGATCCATGCTCTTGCACTCGGCATGATGGTTGAATCTGCTTCCATGGCACGAGACGCAAAAATGGTCATGGAAGAATCCATGAACTCCTTGACAACCTTCCATGCCCGCACATGCGCATCCTTCAGGGCCAGAAAAGATTAAATAGGCGCCGAGTTTTCAGTGCGTTACACAACTCCTGAGTTTACATGTTTAAACGTTTCAATTTCTTCTATTCAGTGGTCAGGGAATTCAGGGTAGTGGCAATAATTACATGTGCCGCCCATCAAACAGCATGCCCCATCCTCCAATTGCTTCACCAGTTTGCCTCGAGTCTTTGATTCTTCCCTTTCAGTCCTGAGATCAAATGAATACCCATCCAAACATGCCCAGTGGGTGAACTGTAAATACAACAAACTTGTTCAAAGCTAAACATAGCTAGCTGACACGAACCAATTTTTGCTAATGTGAGAAATACAGTTCGATCATAACACCAAGCTGGAGCAAGCATTTGAGGTTTATTGGGCCTTAAAGTCGAAGCCAAAACGCTCAATTAAGTCGAGGTGCAAAATCTTTTCCGACTCGAATTGTGTTTGGTCGCTCTTCAATTGCTCGACCCATGCGCTATAGGCAGCCTCCAGAGATTTCTGCAAGGCGCTCCGGGCCCTGTCCTGATGGGCTGTGAGGAATTCTTCCACGCTTTTTCCCCTCACCTCAGGGATTGCAGCAATGCAGTGCTATGGCTATATCTTATATATATATATGTTTGTTTTGCTCATAGATCTATATGTGAACTGAGACCCAAAACACATTGTGCGAGAGCATGTCAAACTTTGTTGGGGTGAATCCAACGCTCCATGCTAAGAACCGAGGAGGGGAAGCAAGCGAACTGGCACATAAATATATAAATATTAATATATTTATAAATAGGGCAATTGTTGTGTATATATATATATATTTCACAATAATATGTATATATATATACAATAATATAAGTAACATACATTGGTCCGGAAATATACAGGTCCATGTGGATTTAAACAAATGGCCTCCAGGACAAAGTTGATTCGTTTCCAGTCGAAAGCATCTCCGGACCGCATCACTGTGGACAGGTCGGTGTCCAAATGCCTAAGTTGAGAAGACCGCAAGTTTCATAAGCCTGAATCTTTCAATTTGTTCTTTGGGTTGTGAAAAATCATGAGTATCAAAAGTTCAAAAAAAATCAATCACAATTTAAGTTAAATTTTTACTTCTCAGAAGTGACGGGGTTTCCAGAAACCCCACGATAAAATCAATGGTTTTGAGAAGATCAATCAAACCAAGAACCAAAATTTGAACATCTTATTGTGATTGATTTTCTCGTGTAAATAAGAATTGTGACGGGGTTTCTGGGAACCCCACGATTTTCTGAAGTTAAATTTCAGGTCAGAAATTTGATTGAGTTTTTGGTCTGCCAAACAAATTTGGCGCTAGATTTGCGACGGGGTTTCTGGAAACCCCACGATTTCTGGGGGGCCCTAACCAAACAGGTTTGGCGGTCAATCACTTTATGTATAGCATAGCCAAATCTATTTGGCAATCCACGAGTGACTTCCCATGAAACCCGAGTTTGAATTGTTCAGACCAAGATGCCCACTCATGAACAGATCGTGTTTTGCGAGGATCTCACCGCTGAACGAGGCACTCATCTTTGCCCGCAGCCAAATCCACAAACAGCATATGTCATGCAGGAGCTGGTGCGCTTCAAGGTCCAGCTGGTTCAGCTTCTGAAGGCAGGGCTGCGCGTGGGAGAGCTTCACCCTAATTGGTCACAAAAATACTAAGAGTAAACCAGGAGGGAACACACAGGAAGTGGGGGTTAGCAGCTGGCACCTTGCTCTTCAAAGTTGCTTCTTTGCCAGCTCGCTTGTCAAAGTCCTGTTGGATGAAACACTTGGTGAGACAGATCAAAGTAATTCCAACACAACCAAGTTTGGAGAAGTTGATGATTATAAAGTTTGGAGAAGTTGATGATTACATTAAATCATCAACTTCTCCAAACACGGCTCCTGAATTGCTCGGCGAGCCCACAAAAGGCATGACTCTTCGGTTGTTTGGAGCACCTCTTGGAAAGTGTCCCTTCCATTGCCATTGTACTGCGGTTGCTCCATGCGCGTAGTCACTCCAGGCACGAAAAAGTCATGTTGAAGAATCTCGTGTGGCAGTGCACTTTCGGAGTGTTTACATTGGTCGTAGTGTGCATGGAGTGCATTCAGGAACTCTGATGGGCACCGAAGAAGGTTGTAGATTAAGCTTTTTCTTCCAGCATCAATCCGATGCTTCTTCACCGTTGTCAAACGGTTGAAGTCTGCAACCACTCTGTTCAACACATCCTTCAATGCTGTCCTCGTTCGGGACATTCGCCGTTCAATGTTGATGGCTTGTGAGATGTCCCCTGTGATCGCCAACGGGCTCGGTTGGATTTTTTCTGCTGTCACGAACCCCAGTCCTGAGATCGAAACAGAATGTGTCTGAAAGATTCCGAAAGAATGATGGTGAACAATTTTACATTCCTCTGACATGGAACAAAAAGGCCGGAATGACTAAAGCTGGAAAGACTCGTAAAGATTCCAGCGAGTGTTGGCTTGGGTTTTCAAAGTGCTGGTAGGAGCACCGAATAGATTGGAACGAACCAAGAACGTGCTGCAAGTGCGGGTCTTGGATTTGTTCATGTGTCAGCTCAAGCTCCTTGATGAACAGCACCAAACTCATCATGCACAGAATCTTGGTTTGGCCATCTACAATTCCGACTGAAAAGTCCGTGATAGCTCTAGATCCATCTGCTGGATATGGAAACTTCGTCTGCACTGCATCGAACTTGGGAAGATATCCGTGCTTGGCAAATTCCCGCCAGTGAGCAGCAATCCCACAATTGTTTGGATAGACTGGAGGGATCAAGGTTCACAAATTATAGCTTGGCTGCTAACACTGTGGCACTTGGAACAGTTAAACCTCAGATTTTGCCAACTCCCCACATCCGTTCTTGCCATTGGGCGCGAAGTCGAACGCACTCAAAGGGAGCCAAAACTGATCAACTGAGTTGTTCGGGACTATGGTCGTCACAATTCGATCCGACGCGACTGGAGCAGCTGACATCACCAGCTCCTCGATGGCCTGCCGGTGGTTTTGGGTGATGTGACATTCGGGTGATATAACATTTCGAGTCTTGAGCTGGGTTCGCCTTCCGCATCACATCATGATCTTGACAAAGATTGTTGATGTGATAACCCAAATTTTCCTTATCAATGACCTTAGAGTCCCAAGCCCCGAAGACGCGAACACATGTTGAAGGTGACTCCCTCAATGACCAAAATCACTGTCAGGTAACTGTGTCAAAGTAGGCACAAAGAGTTCCCATCACGCCATCTTCAAGAACATCCATGGCACAACACAAACCTCCCACAAGCTGACCATGTACAGCCTGTTCAGATTGAGCCTTGGAACAACCCTGACTAAGCGTCAAAAAAAGACTTGGCCTTGCTTGAATTAGCCAACTCTGCAAACGTTCGTTTGCAACGTGTTTGTTACAAGCGACTTGTGAGAGCTCCAGCGTGCAACCATTGACTTTTCCAGTTCCCCCCAAAGATCCATTGTCATGGCCTTTGCCATGCTCTTCCATGAACCCCAAATGTGCAAAATGCAACAAACAAGTATTACACCCTTGCCCGATGATGGTAGACCACCTGCAAAGCATGTGGCCTGGGCGGGGGGTGCTCTTTCCCCCAAATTGATTCTGTGCCAACGGCCAGGATCTGCCGCAGCATGATTACAAAATGTAATTTGCGTGAAAGGAGCTTTTGACAGCCTCGGGTTCATCGCATCCTCATAATACTTCATGGCCCTAGTCATGTGGGGGAAGTCTTTCTCGATGTTTTTCTTCAACAATTGCAATTCCTCTACCCTCTCTGGAGTGAAGCCACCTGTCAGAGCAAGACCTGGATCATTCAGTCGTTGAAAGAACTCACCAGTCCTCCCCATCAAGGCCGATGGCAGTACCAGGATTGGGCGCTGCGAGAGGCAGCTGTCAGACATGTTCTGCTTTACCAGGCAAAACACATCTTGCCCGGGATCACCTTGTCCTCTCATGGACCGTGGTTGACGTTCCTCTGTCTCCAGATCAGCCCCACGGTTAGGCATTCCTGCATTGGACAAGTCTCTTGTAATTACTGTTTGGGATGTGGAGCGCTGGATGTGAAACAGTATGGTACAATTCCGAAACAGAATCAGCACCAAGCCTTCCCGACTGATCAGTGTGAAGCTCTGTGGGACTTTCATTTCTTCAGCGCCTTCATGAGGTTTTCTATCCCGATAGCAGTTCTTGAAGGTCACGTTGTCTGGGAGGATGGAAACCCAGTCACGAATCTCAGTTTACGCTCAACCACAGGAAGGAACTAAACAAATGCATTGAAAAGTGAACAACTAAACAATCTTGGAACATTATGGAACAATGGATTCTGGCAAGTAACTGTATCCACAATTTCGATCTGAAATTCAACCCCTCGTTTGGCGAACACCGGTTGGAGCTTCTGGGCAATGACATTGCACACGTCTCGGGGTGTTTCCAAAACACTGGCAGCATTCAATGCGCTGGTAACAAGGGCCAAGCATGCATCCACGTCCTCATGGGTATGGCCTACCATCAAGTGGGCATGAGTGCAGGTTCCAAACACTTTTTGTTGTGTAAGCAAAGCGCAGAGCTTGGTACAATGACCATTGCGAATCTCTTTGACCGTATTGTCCGCTTGGACCCATAGACTTAGTTGGCAGCCATCGATCAAAGTCAATAAAACAACTGGTCATGAACTTCGGCCTTATTCAATCCAGCAACTCTGAAGGAAAGGGTTTTGACTTCGCCCTGGTCCTCACATATACCTTCTGGATACTTCTCATCACCTTTAGGACAACAGAAAGTGAGTCTTGGAGAGAATCCAGTAACAGCATTGTGCAAAAAGGTGACAGATTTGGTCAAGTTGCTACTTCCCAGTTCCAGTTTGATCCTTCTGACATGGATTCGTTGGTCACAAACATGTAGCACCCTTGTCCGTGACAAATACAGCATGTCAAATGCAGGTTCATTCCTCAGCACCAGTCTGCTAAACCCACACATATACCGTTGCCGATGAATCTTTCAGCCAACAATTTAAAAGTGAAACAACATGAAACTGTAAGCGAAACATATTGAAGCCATGATCAGGCGTCGCTTGTACATTTCAAACACTGCTCTCTTTGGGGTTCGTTGGAATGGGTATTTCGGGATCAGGCACTTGGCCTTGTCATAGGAATCAACGATTAGCGTTAGCAGGTCTCCATGCAACTGCGCACGATCTCGCGCGATCCAGTAGGTGGATCGGTCCTTCCATTGTAGGTTGTAGTGACCAAGGAGTTGGTCGCAAAGGACCGCGTGTCGATGGAAGTCCTGGCTGCTAGGCAAATGCTAAAGGGGCTTAAAGCCAACAAAGCACCATTGGGGGAAGCTTGGATCAGCCAGTCAATTTTGATAGATAAAGCTTGCCCAATGTATATCAAGTGTCTCTAGCTTCATGTATCTTTGCTTTCAAAGAACTGCAGACTGCACACATGCTGTGCGTTGATTTCCGGTGAAATCGCAAACAAGCCTTCCAGGCTGTTGCCACATTGTAAAATGTAGTCTTCGAAGCTGGTTCAAGTGACATTGTTCTGGAGTAAGACAGGTACATCAGAAACAGGCTCGATGTGTTTCCATGTGGAAGTTCGCGCATGGGAAGCTCTTCTGGGTTGTGATGCTCCAATATCTGGCGGTTCGGGGTCAGCAACTGCTGGTCAACCAGTCGGCGCAAGAGATCTTCTCTCAATTTTTCATCATCCCCATCAAACGCTGAAGTCTTACTGGTCATGGATTCCCCTGCTGACCAGTAAAGGTGTATGAAAAAGTTCTGGACAGACGAACTTTGTGGCCCCACACCATCTGCAGCATTTTTTCCTGGGCTTGTCATCCCCAAAGGTTTACAATTCAAGGTTTTTTACATGTTTTTACTTTTTGAGAAGACATCTGGGAAGTTCGATACTCTTGGAAGTCTTTATACCCCAAGATTCCGATCTTCAAGCTCCTTTCATCTAGGCCATGTAACCTCCTCTTCGTTCTTTGCAGGCGCTGTTTGCCCACTCCAATGAGACGGAGCCATGCCTCTCGGCATACGTCATGTCCTGGAGGGCCGACGGGCGGACGGGCAAAAGATTGAACCACCAGATTCAACAAAAGGACAAACACAACTTAATAAAATAAAGTGAATGAACAGGAATTAACAGGAGAAGCCGATCCTTCTATGCTCCACTGTGTTTTCGAAGAGGAATGGGACTGCAAGGACCACAAGACAGCATCTTGACCAGATTTTGGTAGGCCCCAAAATGTAGTGCATGCCCTTTCCAAAGTTCGAAGGGGTACAAAGCAATCACCTCCACACTGACATGGGCTTTTGAGGACTGTCTTCATTCTTTTTCTGTTGATACCGTTCACAGCGTATGATGACTGATCCCTTTGCCCGCCCAAGCTGTGAAGCGACTCCAGACTGATTGCCGATAGACAAGCAGTGGCGGCACCACTAACATGGGAGTCTTCCGAAGAGGATGTGGATCCAGATTCATCATCTGAATGGGTTTGCCTCAAATGCCACAAATGGGGTTGGACACCTTACAAGTAGTTGAAATAGTAGCAAAGAAACATCTATTTCATTCAGGTCACCCGCACCCCTGAACCATCCAAATAAGACAAGCTACTGGGAACCATAATCGGAACCCGACTCAGTCTCATCATATCTCCAACCAGACCCCCGATTGATCCGATTGGCAGGCAATGGGCTGTCATCTCCATCCCAACGCTGCAGGACCGGCATGGAGTGTCACTGGGAGAGGGTGTTCAGTATAAATGAATTGCAGAACACATGCATACTACGGGACTACAGAATCATGATTCTTTGTGAGCTTGTATTCGTGTACACTTGGAATGCCGATGGCCTCCCCTCTACCAGAGCCTTTTGAACAATGATGAATCAATATATTGGCAACTTGGCAACTGGTGACAAATAAATCCAAGATAACGATCGCAACCTAAGTGCTTTTCCCCTTCAACGATCTGTGCTCAGAACTTCTATGTCCCCTCAGTTCTTACCCATGGGGCGAAGATATTGCTGGACGCGATGAGGATGAGCAGCGCGAAGAAGCGCGCAAGTTACAACCATAGCCGCCCTGATTGCAATGGAGTTTCCTCCCAGGTGTGCCAAGTCCTGTGAAAGTGTGAAGGTGCAGTGTCAAAACTATGTAAGTATCAGGGTCAAGCTCCTTCTCCGCAAAAGAATTGATCTTCATCTTATGGATTGGAAGCCCCATCATCAATAGGATCTCACGGCCTCGGCTTGCAGGACAGTGCAGCGGTATGATAAATATTCTGAGAGGCCTGAGTTGGAAGTGACATGAAGTGAATGCTGTTCAATTGTCCAAGTGACCAGTGAGGAACCTTTGCTGATCAAGAACAAAGTACTTTCCACACGGCCTTGGCGGATACCACAATGGTTTTGTTTGTCTTCATGCATTCATAGCAAGTTCCTTTTGAGTGCCACCATGCGCTTATGTTAGGCACTGTTCACACTCAGGATCGAGCGTGAGGGTCATCAACGGGTTGCCATCCACGACATATGGCATTCGCCCCAAAGTCTGCGAAGTGTTGATCGCAGCAACAGGCCCATGATGTTTGATCATCAGGTCAAGCGCCTTTGTGGCAGGCAACAAATTCTGAGATTATGTGTTTATCTCAAATTAAAAAAAAAAACTCCCCCAAAGCCTGGAGTTCACGGGCTGGGCCAATCTGAGAAGCCCCTTCTGGGCAAAGCTTTTTGAAGCTTCCAGCAGCTTTGGTGACCTGAAACATAAACTAGTCTCCAATTCAATGTATTGGTACAGATGATTGCAATTAATTGGGTTTAAGGAACCTTGTTCTTCTTTGCCCACTCCTTGTGGACAAGAGGCCACTTCTTGTCTTGCCTAAGGGGGAAGACAGCCAGTCTGTTCAACCATGCAAAAGTTCGATTCTGGGTCAAGCGATGGTGTGTTATAGGATTGCAAGGTGCTTTGAGGACGATGAGCCTTTCCGTCGCTTATTCAACCGTTGCCTCATGGCCATATCCCTTCTCACAGCCCAATGATCTTTGGGCAGCATGAGATCTTTCCTGAACTCAACGTACTACATGTTCAAGTTGAAATTGTTGGCCTCACATTTTCCGATATGTAAAGATTTAATGAGACATGATTCCAATCGATGGCGGTGTTTGAACATGCAAGAGCATCGATCGAGTCATCAAGGAATCCATCAAAGTCCTCAGCTGCAGCCTTGATCATGAGCTCGGAGCGGATGAACAGAATAAAGAGCCGCGGACGGGACATGGGCGCCCCAAAATGATTCCTGGGTTTGGGGCAGGGGAGGGCGCAACCACCAATGCTAAATAGTTCGAAACATCGACCAACAATCCAAGCTGCGGATCAATTTCTGTAACAGCGATTGTATACCTTCAGTATGGGCCGGTGTTGCAATGACTCGCAATTCTAATATATATAGTAGTATATTTAATATATGTTCAATCAAATGTCGACATTTAGCTAAAGCACTTTGGAAGCTGGGCTTTCATCTTGTCGATCACGGTGTCCAGCACAGATTTCAGGCCCGTCACATTTTCCAGGAACCCCATCTGGGCCAAGGAACAAATCGTGTGAAGGCTTCGCATTGGTAGAGGTTGGGCTTGTCAACACAATGCGAAACGGCTATCCAATAGACTGACACTAAATGAATCATAATAAAACGAGTTGCACATGGCTGCGATTCTTTCAAGCCATTGAGAATGGCAAACAGCTGCTTTGCATTCTCATCTTCAAGCCGCTTCAGGGATCCCAGCAGGGAATAAGGAGTGCAGGGAAAGCCTGCTGTGTAAAAGGCAACCTTGGATCTTGTTGAAGAATGCCACTGAGCTATTTGCTTACTACACCCTGCTGCACACAATCTGTTCGCCCAGTCACTGCCTTCCAAAACCTCTTTTTGGAATCCTTGAGGACTGAATTTCCCTGCCTTAGCTAGTTGTAGAATCAGTAGTGTCACCAAAACTAAACATTGTGTT